GGCTATGCCATATCTGCCTCTGTTACTTCGCTGGTCGTAGAGCCTGCAACGGAGGACTTAGTTCGCCTTCAACGTCACTGATCGCAGAGCCGCAACGGAGGTCTTCTCAAGCCGTCTTTTGTCGTCGAGATCTTCCCTAGGACCAAGTTCTTCGCATATTGAACGCAGTTGACAATAGGAGGAAAGGCACCTCTTCGGGAGCAGCAACACTTTGAAGAGCCACACCCTTCGCCGTTGGTTAGGTCACATCAGCTATGTGACCTAACTAGGTTAACCATCTGGTGTGACATGTGCACTCCGAGCGACATGCACGCCGCGAAGGGACGTCGGAGTCAGAACATCAAAAGAATCGGCAATCTGATTTATACTCGGGGGCTACGCCCTCTCGTACAAATCAAATAGCGTCCTGTTTCGATGCTCTTTCAATTACATGTACATGACACTTTGTACGGTTGATGGTAATTCAAGTAATTAGTATTTATCTTTCATAATAGAATTACAAAACAGTTCTAAGGACTGATTTGTCCCCTCTTGATCTCGACTTTGTTTTTCTCATATTTCTCTCGGACAAACTGTATCGTGTTCATTTCATAATTGTACTGCGAAGAAACTTGATTCCTTATGTTACTTGATAAATCCACTAAATGATTTCCTTCAAATTTAATGATACCGTCTAATGCAAGACAATATTAGCATGACGTCAAAATGTTCTGTATTTGTTAACGGTATAAATTCAGTTTGTGTCTCCAAGTTTTATTGTTTATAACATTGATGTAACAAATCAATGCAGTGAAACTCGATTATTTTCTCAGAGAATCAAAACGAATACAATTATGGCACTGTAACTGACGGGTCGTTAATCATTTAAGATTTAGAATATGTTTTCCAGAAATGAGACATCAATGAGCAAATGAAGACAAAGTGTGAGAAACTTTATCTCTGTTGTTTCTTCTTCTTCTGTATGTTGAAGGGTGATATCTTATACTTTTCATAACACCCTAACACTCATATATTTTATAAGTATTAAGTTATATAAGATCATAATCTCAAATCATTTAATTTGAATTTCTTTCATAAATCAAATGGTACACACAATTTAAGTATATCTGATATCAATTTGATACTAGATTTTTATGCGATCTTTTTGAGATTTAAGTAAAAAGCGTTATTGGATGTATTTTTAAAATTAATGTCCATTATTATATCAAAGCTCATGACAGGTTCTTTCTTTCTTTCTGTCTTTCTTTCCTTCTTTCTTTGAACAAGACTGCAACATGTAATAATGAAAACTTATTATTTAAAAGCACATGGAATTGTGTCTATTTTGTATAGAAGAAGCAAGCAAAGAAACATGATAAAACTAAAACATTATCACATTATTCCTCTTTTAATATTATTCTGAGCTTTATTCTAATAATAAATTATTGCAACTACATAATACATTTAACATATGAATAATACGAAACAATTGGCCATATAAGTATAGTGCAAATGTGTTTGACTACAAATTATGACAACATTAGCATCGACCCTTTCCTGCAATGTTTAACTTTCATAGTATATATTTTCCGGATAGTTCCTGAGACCTGACTTAAAATAGGAATGGCAAACAAAAAACCAAGACAAAGAAAAAAACAACAACAACAAAAAAAACAACCCGAAAAACATTTACATTATCAATTAAATCAAAAAGTGTAAGACCAGTAACCATTATTGCAGCTTCATATTGCATTTTCACGTTTAAGTATTTCTTTTTCTACAGCAATACAGATATACGATAAAAGGAGTTATATTCAAAATTAACCTTAGATGAGAAATGTAAATTTGATTGATTGTTGAATGTTTTAATTTGAATTTTAGAATTTTCATTAACCATAGAACGTTTGAAGCAGAGGTAGTGATTATAGTTATATGCTTTTGCCGTCTTAACTTAAAAAATTACTATAAGATGTTTAAGATGTTGAGCTAGTTTTGAAGTAGTATTGTTAAAAACAATGTTGGATGTTCAGAGAAAGTAACAACTGCTGTTTTTAAGGATTAAAATTTATCAGCCTTTGTTGTGACCATGCACAAATAATATTATATTGTAAATCAGAATTTGTTAAATTTTGAATTGTGTTTATATAATATGATGTAACTGCAAGAGAGATATCCTCTGCAAATAGTCTTGCAATACTTTCTAAAGATTCACCTTTATCGTTGACATAATTATATAAAAATATAGTTTGCCAAGATCAGAGTCTTGAGGAACACCGGCGTTTATATATTTAGTTTCTGAAAATAAAGATCCTTCGAATACTCTTTGCATTCTGTTTATAAAATAATTTCCAATCCATTTATTAAATAAGCCTATTATTCCAATTGTTTTAACATGAATAATAAACCAGAAGGCCAGCAACTGTCAAATGCTTTAGATATTTCACAAAATCTCTAAAGCTTATTTTTTTCTCCATCCAATCCTTTTCACATTTGGTGGTACATATCAATTAGTTGGTAGACGACTGTTGAGTTACATGAATGAAAGCGTGACTGATATTTATAAATAAGATTATTTGAATGTTAATAATTATATAAATGTTTTAAAATTACTCTTTCCGCCTATTAAAACAATACAAAGGACTGGACATATTATTTTTGTGGTTTCTTTTAACATGCATATGGCTTATTTTATCAGGGCCGCAAGCTTTTTTAAAATAACTAAATCTAAGAGAATATCAGATATTTCATGGTATGTGATTTGGATATTGTCAAGACGTAAGTATCAGTTTTTTTGTCGTAAAATTTGGAAGTTTTGATTTAGTATCATTAAATGTAGAAATTGAAACAAAATGGTTATTTAATGTATTGACTATTTCTTTATCAGATACTGATTTATTGTCGTTTTTTACTTTTAAGGGGTGGTATTTTGTCACATTTGGTTGAATTATCTTAAATTAAGCATTTTACAAGTTTCCAATATTGAGATGGATTTGTGTTATTTAGATCATGTAATGAATACTGAATATTATTAAAAAAGGTCTTGGGCATGTTTTGCATGTTGTTGACGTTATTTATTTGCTTATAGGTCACAGTCTGAATTTTATGGCTTTTTGATTTAATCTGTCACGTTTTCTGGATGTTTTACGAATTATAGTTATACATGTACCAGACATACAGTTCCAATATATGTGGGTTTCCAATTTTGCAAATCAAGAAATTTTAAAATAGACATGCTGCATCAACTGAATTATCACGCAGAGACCAAGCTGAGCTTTTTTTCCGGAGTTGATAAATGTAACAATCTCTCGCTAGCTCTTACATGATTACAATGTAAGTCAGTCATAAAGAATTGATGCCAGAAAGCTATTTAGCATCCTCTTGAACATCGCATTGTGTAAACCCTCGGTCGAACGGGTGTTTGACGTCATATTTATGACGAAAGCAAAAAGTAATTGAAACTGAAATGGTTAAACAGCAATTATTGAATATTTAGCTTTTATACTCATTACAAACACTTTATACAAATGACAATTAACATGACAATTTCAGAATGAGTAACATTACGGGAAATCATCACTTTGGTAAAGTGATGACTCAGCGTTATTTTTCTCATGCTGAATAAACAACTGAACAGTTAATGAATATATTTGTTCGGCTGCTATTTTTATGCACACTCAGCTGTACGTAAGATAAATTTGACGTAATCTTTATTTGATCACATGCTAGAGAGCGTATTTATTTAGATACACACATAATTTAAGAGTTATTGAAGGCGTAGTTTTGTCACTCTTGTTCAATAACAAACATCTCACTTTCCCAGCAGACGTGAATAAATCCTTTACGTTGACTTTATAGGTCTATTGTGAATTTTCGCACAAATAAATTAAGACATTCATTTCAAAAGATTAGTGCTGAGGGTTTCTTAAAAAAACGACGGTGTTTATAATGTCCTATATTGTATTACTTCATCAAAGTTATTTTATAGTATAAATATCAAATGGAAACAATGTGTAATGTATCGCACAGATGATAAAAATATTGAAACATGATTTAAAACGTTTTGCAATATGAATTTTGTTCCTGTATTTTTCTGTATTCTATTATTAAATAAAGTAGTTGACTTTTCCTGGTTTAATCAATAATTTATGTTTTTAATTTAAAACCAATATTCATAAATTTCAAAGACGTGTATCAGCGAAACAATATTAACATCTTTGTATATAAAGATGAGAAAACTGATACCATGTATTTTAATCTGCAGCAAAAACCCCTCAAGTACAATATTAGTTGTCTATCAAACTTACGAAGGATACTAAGAATAACATAGTTTTATAAAATTTAAATTTAAACCATTAATATATCAATACATTGCCTTACCAATTCATGAATTTTCAATGACATCACCCACGCAATATGTCAATTCTTATCTGTTAAGGGCTGCATGTGTCTATAAATAGTTCCAAACTTTATGCATATTATTTTTCCTTTCATTATTTTATGTGCTAGATGATCAGTATAAATACAGTACCAATGTTATACCCACTTCTATTTTTCTTGCGATCATCGTAACTTTATGAAGCAGTGAAATACTAAATAAATAGCCGGGAGTGTAAGACAATATTTAACCAAAATGACGAGTAATAAAATTTAGGAATAGTTTTAAAATGTGAAACAAAAGGTGGAGCAATATCATACTTAATTAAAAAATAGTCTAAGGGAAAAAGCGACATCTTTTTTTGGCAAGATATTGTTAAAAATCGTTACCTGCTTAAAACGTTAAATAAGATAAATATTTGGAAGTAATCCTTTAAAACAGCGCTTTTTGAACAATCTCAATAGAAAATGTAACGATATGCATATCATGTTTATTTTGAATAAGAAAAACAGATAAAGATTAGCTTAACTCTATTTATGTTAATGTTATTAAATTTTCATCTCTTACCAAAACACTGCTATACTTCATTGAACGTCTTTACCAGATCAAAAGTCTATACAGATTAACATCTGTTTATACCTTAACGTACCGTAGTGAAAACTGAACGAAAGTTATAAATGCGACATTTTATTTGATAAAGATGTTACTTCTAAAAGTACTATAATTTTGATATTCACTTTTAGGAATTTAAAAATTATTGAGATAACTGGATTGTTACACTATTATGGTAAGTGTGTGAAATATTGTATATATTGAATATAAAAAACCTTTTATATTTTTATTATTTTTATTATTATTAATTATGAGAATTTTTGTATCACATGTGCAGATCCATATTATAAGTGTAATTTATTGTATATTGCTGTATTCATATTCATGAAAGATTCTGTATTTATTTGACAAAGTTTTTATTCCCGCGTTAACGTCACGTTCTGTTTAGCGTATATAGTTAAACGGACGTTGCGTCATTTGTCATTTGTTATTTTATAAACGTCATTTTTTGAAGAAGAAGACTAAACGTCGAAAGCTTAAGAAAAGCGTTTGTTTTTATTGAACTGATTATATAAAATATTCGATATGTCATACGAAGGAAAGGTATTAAGCACAATATTACTTTAAATATATTGAAGTAAATAATTTATGCGAGGCTTAGCATAAGCTTTTAGCTTTCTCCTCTATTCTGAGGACATGTTTAGTACACTTAATAATTTCTGTATACATTTTAGTTCAGTTTTAATGTTAAATCGATCTGTAATTGTTCATGTGTACTTTGTATGATATATTATGTAATCAATTTATTGAAAATAAATATTGTTTAAACCAAATAATTTAAACCGATATGACCAACGTGAATGATGTCAAATACTTAAAAAACCTTAAAAGTTTTGTCCAAAATATACATTTACTTTTCTTGTAATTTTAATAGTTCCAATGAAAATACACAAAAATCTGCATGATGACGGTTAAAATATTTTTCAGTTGTATAAAGCACTACGGAACCGGTTGTGCTTGTGGTATTTTCAGGTTCAACTTTTCGGCATTTTCTAATTGGGTGGTTCCAATATTCCTACTTGAATAATGTTGAATCACCCTTAGGATATGTTGCCTGCTTTCTAAATTTGTCTTTTGACGTCTTATCTGTGATATGCAGGCTTCATAACCTCTGATCCCCTTTCAAAATTCCATTTTATTTAGTTCCGCCCATTGTTTTCTCGTTTAGGGCACACGCTTTTTATTACTTGGGGACCATACGCCGCTTTTCATGGAATGGCACGGAAGTGTCACATTGAAGGTTCCATGATAACCGCCGTATGAACACATCTGCGGATGTTTCTAAATTCAAAATTTTACTATTTCACGTTTAAATGTTGAATTCTGCTTAAGCCGGTGCTAGGGGGCGTGGACGGTAACTTGCCCTTTCCAGTACCGTCCATGAACAGGCTCAATCAAACCGAGCCTGCAACATTTATAATTTTGCCGTGTTGGGTTTTCTTTAAGGATTCTGTATTTATCTATTTTATGATCACATCCGTGTTATTTGTGCCGTGTGGCGGCTGTAAAAAGTCTCCCCGTACATTTAATCAATGATGTTATATTTTCGATCCTTGAAGATCGTTCAGCACGACATTATTGTTGTGCTTGTGGTATTTTTAGGTTCAACTTATCGGCATTTTCTAATTGGGTGGTTCCAATATTCCTACTTGAATAATGTTGAATCACCCTTAGCATATGTTGCCTGCTTTTTAATAGTGTCTTTTGACGTCGTATCTGTGATATGCAGGCTTCATAACCTCTGATTCCCATGTAAGATCCCATTTTGTTTAGTTCCGCCTATTGTTTTCTCGTTTAGGGCACACGCTTTTTATTACTTGGGGACCATACGCCGCTTTTCATGGAATGGCACGGAAGTGTCACATTGAAGGTTCCATGATAACCGCCGTATGAACACATCTGCGGATGTTTCTAAATTCAAAATTTTACTACTTCACGTTTAAATGTTGAATTCTGCTTAAGCCGGTGCTAGGGGGCGTGGACGGTAACTTGCACTTTCCAGTACCGTCCATGAACAGGCTCAATCAAACCGAGCCTGCAACATTTATAATTTTGCCGTGTTGGGCTTTCTTTAGGGATTCTGTATTTATCTATTGTTTGTAATGTGCTGATATATAAACGCATTCTAGCGACCCCTCCTCGGAGATTGAACGTTAATATATATTTCAGCAAAAATTCATAATTCTAATTTAGTGAAAACTGTGAAATAAAAAGATTGGACGAAATCATCATTTAGTGATATAACGTCGTTTAGACAGTTGATAAGGAAATAAAAAAATTATTCTTAAAAAAGGTGATTTACAACAATGTTTTAACGCCATGATGTTTCTGAGCAGTTATCAAATTTAGCATAAAAATACGCAAACAAATGGTACATGATAGTTGTAGAAAAGTGAAGAAGTCCGCTTGCGTTCAAATGGCATGAAATAAATTATTTTAAGATAGAAGAAATGCGTTTGAATACGTTACAAGTCATAGCAGGAATACCACTCGTATTTTTGATGACGATTAACAGCGTTTCATTTTCCTCTTTTAACTCTACCATCAATATTTGGACGAATAAAGTTAATGATGTTCCCCTAATTAGTTCACACTGTCCTTATAGTTTCATGTTTTGAACGATATTCATAGTGTCTACAAATTTGAAATTCTTCCTTAAAATATAATTGAAAATTGAAAATTCATGATCGCTCGCCTGAGGTCAAAAGCTAAAAAGTTCACCATTTTTAGATGGCAAAAGTAGTTCATTTTATTACATTCTAAGAAACGCAAGGTTGCATTTCTATTTCTAACTCTGAAGTGTATAAGTGGCCCAAATCAATCAGTTTGGCGACTGAAAAGTTCAATTCCAATATAAAACTGTACCTGAGGTCCCAATTTGAGAATTTAAGATCATTCAGTCATAAAAAATTAATTCAAAACATTAATTATAATAATTACCAAAATTTGAAGGGTAAACTATTAAATGCAAAAGTACATAGCAAGTAATGATTTTTTACATTTTGCTTATGACACAATGGTTTGTAATAATAATGATAATAATCATCATAACCCGGTTCGTGGCTATTTTGATATAAGAATGTTATTTATAAAATATTTGTAGAGCCATGATGCATTGCTACATGCTAAATTGCTAAGCTCATGGCAATGTAGTTTCACACAAGTTGAATTTAAATTAGTCTGACCTGGGCGCGATCATTTTTGACCCTAGTGTAGTTTTTTATAGGTCTTCTAGGCAATGTTAAATGCCAAATATCGCAGGCTGTCTATAAAAAAGTGCAAATATTTCAATTCTTGTGACTTTCCTTAGAATCTGACTAAACCATCAATATTTTTAAAGAGACCCAATTCATCCCGCCTTAAGTCCTAGATCCTTCTTTGCAATTTGGTTACAAATAGTGAGCTAAATTTCGGAGGAAATTATAACTATTCTATCTAGTAAAAGAAGTTATTTCATTCAGGAAATGGGTTCAAATGTGCTAAGTCGGTTCGGAAACAGCTATACAAACAAACGGGTTTATTTCTGAATATTTTCAAATGTCCCGCTCTATTAAACAGAGTTGTCCAATAGCGCCGTTTCTCTATTTCTTACAATCAGAACCAATGGCTTGTGCAATAAGAAATAATATTAATATACACGGCATTAAATTTCCTTCGTTAAATGGCTTTGAGCTTATTAAAAGTAAGTCAATTTGTTGACGATACATTTTTTTTGTGAGAATGAGTTTTCAGTTCCAGAAATATTTAATACTTTAAAAGAATATGAAATTTCATCTGGGGCCAAATTGATTAAGGATAATACACCAGGCATCTGTATTGGAAAATCAAAAGAAAGGACTTCGAAATTCAAAGATATAAAATGGACGAGAAATTATTTGTCATAGCTATAATATATAGCTACACTATATAGATACGAACGAAATTTGGATGAAAAAGATAAACAAATTAAATCAAAAATTGTCTTCAAGTATGGAAAGCTTGGGGTCTGACTTTTAAAGGGAAAATTCTTGTTTTGAAAACATATGTAGTTTCTATTATTAATTAATTTTGAAATTGAAACCCGCATAATACCAACAAAATACATAGAAGAAATCGAAAAAAACTATGAGCGATTTTCTTTGGGACAATAAACGACCGTTAGTTTGCAAAAGCACAATTCTCCTTGACCTGAAAGACGGAGGTCTTAACTATTGTAATATTTCAAATATTCAAGCCAGTTTGGATGTTAAAACAATATACAAAATTATACACTCTGACATACAGAAGTGGAACGCAATAGGAAAATATTTTTTACAAAAATATAACACTTATGGGGAAGACAGAAATGATTATTTTCTATTTATTTTATGCTTTTCAGTGGATTACTGATTTATCCGTGAAAATTATATTTGATAATTTCACAGTGAAAATTATCAAAATATAATTTCACACTTTTCAATGACGAAACTACTTTTTTAAGATTTTTCCCATGTGGTACCTCAATTTTATTTTTGCTAACAATTCTGACAATGTCAGGCTGTTAAAAGAAAACGCAAAGCTGAAATTGATAAATAACTTAAAGTGACATTATGCCCATCCAAGGGTATTGGCCTACATGTTTAGTGAGTAAACAGGTGATTATCAAAATAAGTTTTCATTTTGCAATAATTTCTTTTAATTTAATAATTTACTTCCCATAAACAATAAATAATGCACAGATCCAAATAAAATTCCTGTAAATATCTATTAGAATTTACCTATAAAGCTCAGTTTATAAAAAAGAGTGGGTCAGTCTTTTTATATTTTAGGCAGATTTATAATTTTATCCTGAACGTTTTCAAATATCAACTGTTGTTCAAACACGATTTTAACAGTCAATATTTTGAAATATAAAGTCAATTCAGCACAACTTGACTATGGAAATATGAGCATAATGTCACTTTAAATGTCAAAACTAATAAAAAGAAGAAAACTTACTTCTATTCATTCAAATTCCAATCACCAAATTTCGTCTGTAATTTTTTTGTTTCATTTTTACAGTCTGAAAAATACATTCCTTCCACATGCAAACTGCTCTTGATGACATTTGGGCATATTAAAGTATCCTACGAGCAATAACTGCCGTATGCTTTATGAAAAATTGAAAAGCATAGACAGCTATCAGCTAGTAGAACAAGTAAACCACCCAGCGTTCCGAGCAAGTTCCAAGTTTTCCATTTTCATAGCTGCTTTTTTCATGTTTTCACATCTGTCAACACTTATTTTATGTCTGTTATAATCCTCAAATCTGTTTTCTTTCTTTTTAAAAGGTGTATGACTAATAAATCCAAATGATATCCCTCTGAATCAAACACAATTATTTTCCTCCCGTGAAATACACAACTTTAAAAAATGGCTGCCGCTTACATTTAACAAAGCCAGGTCTAATATAAATTCGCAGTAAGTAACAGAAATATGGATGGATGGTTGGAATTTTCTCCTACAAGAATTGTTTGTTTTTATTATTAAAACAAGCGATCATTCATATTTTTTGAACAAAATAAATAATATCACTGTTATTTAACGTTGATTGTTGGACTTATTTTTCAGCTAAAGACTTCTTGTTTTTAATGAGAAATTCCGACTAAATGGGGCTCTCAATGGGGAAAACAGATTTTAATATTTACGTTAATATTATTGAAATTTCGTTTTAACTTGTTTTTTAGCATAAAATAAAAAGAAAATTTGTTTGTTTGTTGTGTAAGATGTAATTTTATTTCATCTCGTGAACTTTAAAAACAGTATTCTGTATACTGTTTTTAAAGCCCACTCGATGAAATAAAATTTCATCTTACACACAAACAAACAAATATCCTCTATGTAAATGTTCTTCTTTAGAAAATTTACCTTTCAAATTGAACATAAGTACGTTTTACAAGTCCGCCCTCGAAAATTGGTGTAAGCCAAAGTCTCTATCCGATGTAAAAGAAATTTTTCTTTTTCGTAACTCTGAAATTCGTTTTCGCAGGAAATCATTATACTTCAATTCATTTGTTAAAAGTAATATAATGTTTTAAAAAGATATTTGGGACTTTGAAAATAATATTTTTATTAGCATAGACACTCTTTTAAGGAAATTAAAATGTACAGGAAACTGGATTGCCGAATGTCATATTCTCAAATCATATTCCTAAATTGTATATAAATGCTTTAAAAGACAATGATTATGAAACAGTGTCGATTTACACTCAATTAGACGATATTGCCTTAATGAGCAAGTCGCAATGAAAATATTAAGATAAAACAAATATCCTATTTACTGAAAGCAAATGGGAAAGTTCACTTAATATTGAGTTACCATGGAGTAAAATATGGTGGCACGTTTATGATTCTTTTTCTTCATGCAAAGCTGTACAATTTCAGTGGAAATTTTTACACAATGTTATTTATACAGAATACAAGTTGGCTCTTATGAATTTATCTGACGGTAAATGTGATTTTGCAAGTAATGTTTGGACATTTGTAATTCAAAAACTTAAGTCCGCTGATATCTTGGAAAATGATTGTTCAAATTTCCAATCTACTGCACTTTTTGGGTCTTTTAAACAAGCAATTAATAATAAATTGATCTATACTGTTATATTTCAAATGTAAAAAATATCGTAACAATCAAAGCATAATTATTCATATCAACCAATACCTATTTTGTTAAGAAAATTGTTCAATGATATAAAGTACCAATTTGAATTAAAGACGATACTGTGATTTTTTAAAATATTTGTAATTTGTATGAATATTATCTTTGATGTATTTGACGCAACTCAATTAAAATTATAGAATTAATTCATTTAGAGTAAATTCGCTTTTCAACCTTGTCACTTTTCGTTTTTCGGACAAGTAAATGACACCTTTGCGAATTCTTATATTTATCACATTATCTATATTGCTTCTAATTTTGTCAGAATCAAATATATACATGTATCATTGTAAGGCTGATAGGAGGATGCTCCTCGACCCATATCATGCCAATTAGGGGGAAATTAAATGGGGTTACCCATCAACTGGGCGTCCGAAACTGAAAAAAGAAAAAGAGAAAAAAGAAGTTATTTCAGAGTTATAGCTCTTAAATTAAATAAATTGTATTTATATGTTATTTATGCATCTTTTTCCAGGCATGCAATTTGTCTCCGGAACAAGTTGTTGGTAAGTATATCATAATCTTATTTGAAATCTTCCGTCATGAATATCCTATAAAAGTAGTTCTTGCATAAAAAAGGTGATAACCTTTGACTTATTTAATGAAAAGGGGAACATTTTTTTCTTTTTAAACAAAGATGGTAAAGATAAGGGAATATGTGTCGTAAAAAATTGCTCTGTACTTCACTTTAGTGTTGTTATGTTTCCTGGTCCTTTGGGATTATCGATTCCAGCACTTTAAAGTGTTGAAATTTGAGTACCTCGGGGGCATGAGGGTTGCTGCACTATTTCATTATCCATCATGCACAGACTCAATCAAACCGAGTCTGCAATTTTCATGTAAATTTTCCGATTTTGGTGCTACCGATGGATCACCTTTTCCAGATATTTAGACTTTTGACTATGTTTATATATCTAATGCTGAATATTTTGTTATCATTACTCAATAGGACAGATCTTGCTAATAGTTATAACACTTTCACGATTTAAGAATTCCGTGAGGCGTTCAAACTGTTTGATAAAGATGGTAGTGGAACTATCTCCACCAAAGAACTTGGAATCGTCATGAAAACACTCGGAGACCCGAAGTCTGATGCTCAACTTGCCAAAATAATAGCTGAAGTGGACGCTGATGGTAGGCTGATTATGTTAATCATTCTTAAAACTCTATAGTTTTCAAAACATTTTATCAAACTGTTGAAGTCTGGTCCTGTACCGTGCTTAAATTAAGCAGAATGAAGGAAATTTCTTCATTGTTGTGCCTACTGTTCATACGTACATACACGGCAAGACAGTTGTATGTTTTGTGCGTGTGAATACGACGTTTTATTTATTGACATCAATATCAGCATATCTCAAATATACCAAGTTTTCAATCACGTGGAGTATTTAGTGAAGATGCAGCATATATGTTTTTCTGTGATTTCAAAGTATCTGTACAGTAGATCTGCAAATATTCTGCCGCGTCATTGCATATGAATATGCTTTTACTATGCTTAATCTGAAGACCCTCCATTCGATTTATTATTGTTTAACAGTATACAAAATGAAAGAATTTCAGTCTGTTTATGTGTACAATATTAAAACTGTGTTAGAAATTACATTTATTGAAAATGCTGCTCAGATTCTTTTTAACCTGTTTTAGGTAACGGAGAAATTGACTTTAATGAGTATCTTGAGATGATGGCAAATCGGATATCTGACAATGGTTCAGCGGATCACATACGAGAGGCATTTAAGGTGAGACAGTCTTGAACTAAGGGAGTTAACTCTGTTAAAATGATTGTAAATATTCATAGCATGGATGACTTCCCTTTATGCATGTAACAACGGAGTATAAGTTCAAATATAAAAGAACATTTATATTATACATTATATCACAATTGGTCCTGTAAAATATTAAATATTTCCATCTTTTCGTAATAAAAAATAAATTTATTAATATGTGTAAGGTATATAGAGATTAGTTATTTACTTTGCAGCTTGAAAGGCACATATTATGCCTCAGAAACAAAACGAACATAGTGGGTTCGCGACCAGCATGGATCCAGACCAGCCTGCGCATCCGCGCAGTCTGATCAGGATCCATGCTGTTCGCTTACAAACCCTATAACAAATAGAGAAACTGATAGCGAACAGCATGGATCCTGATCAGACTGCGCGGATGCGCAGGCTGGTCTGGATCCATGCTGGTCGCAAACCCACTACGTTGGTTTTGTCGTGACGCGGCTCAAATATTGTTTTTTCCTTCTGATGAAAGGGCAAACATGATTTTTGATAACGTTTATATAACTGTTAAATAGCACGTTAAATGCATTACAATGAAAACATTAGCACTGAATGTTAAGTTATTTGTCATAAAAATAGCAAAATGTAAAATAAGTAGTATTTTGACTTCCAAACAAAATACTTAATATAACTGTACTAAATGTCAAAATAATTGCCCAGAGAGTAACATTTTAGAGTACCAATAAAATAAGCATTTACGAAATAACAATAAAATAATTTATATGGCATTATGTGCTTTTTATAGTTTTTTTTAATATATTTTCTCAACACTGAGGTTTCCATTTTAGTCATCTTTATTTATTCATAGGTATTTGATAAAGATGGGAAAGGCTATCTCACCGCGGACGAGTTACGTCATATTATGACAAATCTTGGCGAGCGTCTGCCTGACGAAGAAGTTGATGAAATGTTGTCTATTGTTGATGCAGACGGCAACGGATGTATAGATTATGAAGGTTATATAATGTTTTTGTGTAATACACAAGCTGGCCGTACTAAATGTTATTATAAAGTTTTAAGGATTAGAGTGTTATATACAAATAACATGTGAAATCTTAATATTGATTTTTGAACATTTTGTCGGCCTAGTTAAACACAAGGTAAAGATAAAGGACATTACCCCCAGAGGATTTTAGATTTGATTGGTAAAACGGTTGAAGTCAATTACGGAAAAAATATAAATATTATTGGCGGCCATTTTTTCACTCTACTTAATTATGCAATATATAATCACTGTTAATAAACTCGTTCTGTCGATCAATGGTAACGGAATGATTGAACGTTTAAAATTGATATAATTTCTTCAACGTCTCATATTGCGTTTATCTCAAATGAATAAAAAATACTTAACACAAGCGTTTCGGGTAGCACCAAACTATTATTTCCTCCATAATTATACTTATAACCTAAAATGTATGTTATAATGTTTGTTACAGAGTTTACAAAAATGCTGGCTCAAAAATGACGTTTACATGGAGGACACAGAACAAGAACTGAGATGTGACATTAACCAGACATTATGCAATTTACAAGATTTTGTGTTCAATATATGAATCTGTTATGTTTATATTGGAATGTTGTTAACATTCATTTACAGCGTGTCTGTAAATTTTACATATATCATTTTAATGATTATATCCAATTTTGTAGATTTTTAAATGTTTGATGATACATAGAATGTGTATTAAATATTCGATTTAGTAAAGTTGTTATCTAATACAATACAACATGAATGATCAAGGGTGGTTTTTATTTCATTTTATGTTTGTTATTTCTGTTGTAACTGATATTTGCTGTAAGGAAATGTTGTGGCGCGAGGTTATTACACTTTATAACAGTAACCCAAATTATTTTAATGCTGAAAATAATTTTATTTATCTTATTACTCGAAATAAATGTTTCATATAAGACATTTATTCCTGCTGAAAAGACAGCGTTCATCATGCAGTATGTTTGGACAGCTGCCGAATAAATATAGAATAAATAACTTCATATTGCAGCTCTATGCAAGTGAAACAACCCTAGGGAATGCTTTAAGTAGATTATGTACTTGATTATAAGTGGCACTGTTTATTTACATCTGTAGCATATATTTATTACTTTATTAGTTTATTTCATCCAAGTGCACTTATTAAACATATACATAGTCAGTACAATCTACGATAAATGATCAGTCATATATACAATTATATACAGGATATTTGTTTGTTTTGCATGTAAGATTGAAATATAATTTCACTGAGTGAACACCAGGTGCAATATTTTCACGAGTGGCGTAGCCACGAGTGAAAATATAAAAGCTGGTGTTCACGAATGAAATATATTTCAATCTTATATGTAAAACAAATAAATTTTCTTTCTATTTTATGCTTTTTAAGTGATTTTAAGTATTTTTTTACTGATTTTTCCGCGTAACGTCACGCATTTTCCTTTGTGACGTCATTATATCATGACGTTACATCATAAGTTTTGAAATATAGGTCTGTTAAATTTCTCTAATTTTGTTACATTTTAAACATGATGTATGATGACATTGACTTTCTTTTCCTAAATAAGCAAATTTACGTATGACGGCATTTATTTCTGCCTGTTATTCCATTTAGTTATGATTTTCTTTTCATCCGCATTGAGATATAGTCCGGCTACAGTGAAAATTATATTTTATAAATTTCACTAGTGGTTTATCAGAATATAATCATCTGATATATTGTAGTTAAACACTGGAAAGCATGAAATAAAGAAAACTACTATAATTTGTTACAAACATTTTATAGGTATCGAATTTTTCTATCTACATTTTAAAAGTTAATCATTACTAATACACAAATCTGCCTTAGAATAATCCGCCAAAACTTAAACACTGAAATTAAAAAGACTGGCCCCAAAACGCAATTTGCAAATAAGCTTCGTCTAGATAAAAGTCAAGCTAGTCAGTAATGGTGAACTATTAAAAGATAAGTAAAATTACATATTAAGTTTTTTTAATAAATAGATACATATTAGTGATAAAAGAATAATATTACTTTGTTGCTAAGATCTTTATTTTTTCAGTGTGACATTACAGTGTCACATATATCAGTACAACATTAATTAATATGGTAAATAGGTGAAAGTCTAAATAAGTTTACATTTTGCCATACTTCCTTTCAATTCTGTAATTACTTCGAATGAATAATTAATAACATACATGGCTCAAGGATATATCAGTCTTTTAATTTAATTTATAAAAGGAATGGGTTGGACTTTAGGCAGTTTTATCCTTAACATTGTCCAATATCAACCGTTGGTCAATCACAATTATAACAGTCAATCGTTTGAGATATTAAGTCAAGTTAGCTCAACTTTACAATGAAAGAAGTGCGCATAATGTCATTTTAATTTTAGCCCTCCTATTGGAAATATTTAAAACAACAACAACAACAACTACTACTACAACTAAATACCGATCTAAATAACGTTTCTATGCATAGCACAGTTAAACATTTTACTAGTACATTGTAAGTTTTATTTCTTTTTTATTATTATTTTATTATAAACTCTTCTCTCTGATCAAACCGATGAATCCAGCTGTTGCAAGTATAAAATCTGTTTAATCGAAATTATATACATAACGAAATTATTCAACATTATCATTTATCACATAAATACAGACAAATCTATTTAGATGTAATATTGCAGTATAACAATACATAAATCAAATGTACTTTTAACAGTTTATTGTTTATCTAAAAATGAAACAACTATTATCAACATTTATACAATTCAAAATAAACTCTTTTATTGTAGCACTACTTTAGATAAATCAACATTTATTTTAATACACAGGTGCGGTACAAGTTAGAACATTGTTACCACTAAAGTAAAATTGAGAAAAAGTTCGTATCGAAGATCAATATTTATCAATATAAAATCACTACATTTTACGTACTTTTCAAATAACCTTCGCCAAAATATAATATAACACCCCTGTATGAAAAGCAAGATCTATTAAAGCGAAGGACAATTGAACTTAAATAGGCGTGTTTACTTTTATGTAAAGATTTGGTTAAGATTGGAATTAATGAAAGCTTATTATTTTGGTTGTGAAATGTTAGAGTACAAATGAGCAGCTTATTTCACGTTTGATAATCATAACAATTTATGTTAATATCAACACTTGTTATTTATACTGAATTCACAATGCACTGGAAATAAAACTATCTGACGATATGGTAAGTTTTTACTTTTCTCTTCATATGATAAACACGATAAAGATACGTTTATATAAAACTTTATAATACTGCACGTTTGTAACGTCGCTTTTAATTGGATAATCGTGACGTTTATATAGTTTTTTTTATAATACTGCACGTTTGTAACGTCGTTTTTCATTGGATAATCGTGACGTTTATATAGTTTTATATACACGGCTGTTGTCGATTCATGAACAAATCTTACTTTTTTCTCTAAAAAAAAGTTTGCTGTATTATAAATTCGTTATAAAGATTGTTGACAGGTTATATGGCCGTATATAAGGCTGTTTGCAGTATAACCCTCGCCTAGCGGCTCGGGTTATATTTACAAATAGCCGTTTATATAGGGCCATATAACCTGTCAACGATCTTTATAACTAATAATATACACGGCTGCTGTCGATTTATGAAGAATGCTTATTTTTTTATTTTAAAATGAATTCAATAATTTTGCTTTCTCTGAAATATACTATAACTTGGTATTTGTTGTCGTATAGACCACCGAGTATATAATTAAAGGGTACATTTTTCCACATGAACAGCGCGTTTTAGAATATATTGTAAAGCTGTAATGTAATGTTTACAAAAGGCACTGCGAGTAAACGGGTGAAGATTTTAGTTAAGAGATAAGTAAACATTTAACACTTCTTTTTCATTGAAATGAAATATTTACTTCGTCAATTCCCCCACTTAAAAAATAATACTTTGAAAGCTTCTGTGCGATGCCAACGTTGTCATTAGACGACAATTGTGATGAAGTACCCACTCCACTTATATATCTACAAATATAGACTGTCTTTGTATAGCATGTCTTTTATCATTAACGAAATAGCATTTCTGGGAGTAAAAAAAATGAGCCGCATCACGACAAAACCAACATAGTGGGTTTGCGACCAGCATGGATCCAGACCAGCCTGTGCATCCGCGCAGTCTGATCAGGATCCATGCTGTTCGCTTTCGAACTCTATAACAAGTATAGAAACTGATAGCGAACAGAATGGATCCTGATCAGACTGAGCGATGCGCAGGCTGGTCTGGATCCATGCTGGTCGCAAACGCACTATGTTGGTATTGTCGTGACGCGGCTCAAATTCTATCAATTGTTTTGTCTAAGTTATTTGTGACTGTTATAACGCTATGGTTATGCTTACATAATAATTATTTTTATAGTTACTCTGTTTATTTTTGTTTTGAATCTAAAAAAGAAAATATTTGAAAAACAAACATAAAGTTATCTTACGAGAAAATAGATAAAATAATTGACCCAGTTCTAATGCGAAAAATGAAAGAAAATACACATGCGGTATATGTAACTCCGTATTGAGTAAATAATTACTTTTCACATCTTCCTTTTCAATAAACAAATTATAATGTTTTCTTTCAGGCAGACAAATTAACGGAACAAGAAATTGCAGGTAAACAAATATTTCACTAAGTAGATTATAATGTAAATCACTAAAGGTCTCAACAGACGGTAGGATTTAGTTGTAAAGCACTAATTAGAGATAAGATGTACAATTTTCAAAGCTATACAACACTTGCATTCAGACGGTAATTCTACACTGTAAGAATCATCTGAGGTTTCCCCTAAAAAGGACCCCTTTACAATGATCCTTTACATACTTAACTCACTAAATACCTTTTTCGCCATGAGTAATGATTGAAACACCTCCATTTAAAAAAAATATATCTATATATATTTTTTTTTAATGTGAAGCTTGACTGAGACTCAAACCTAGGACCCTCGGAATACCGTACTGCGGCTTTACTGACTAAGCTATCTGGCCGCCTACAAACTACCTCCCCTCCCCTAATTAGAGAACAATTCAATACCGTGACATAATCATTTTCGGAATAATTTGGGATTCGAACATAACACAACTTTGGGTCTCCTGAAGAGTTTTTCAACATCATTTTACCCCATTTTACTACTATGTTTACCTTTTAGCCCTAATTGTTCTGGAATTTCATTCATTACACCCATTATCAGGAGATAATTTGGTTATCTGTTACTTGTCATTGTGGGAGGTCTGTAAAAATCTGTACGACAAGATTTTCAAAATAGAACATGTCCTATCCCTTACATCTAGACTTAAGGTTTCCGAAATCAAGAAATAGTAGCCTTCACACATTAAGATTTGTCTGTACATCTTAGTTTTAATTGGTGTTGTACTTCAAAATCCTACCGTCTGTTGAAGCCTTTTCACTAAGTGGTTGTTATTATGTTTTCTCCGGTTTAAATTCTATCAGAAATTTCAGTCTTTCCCCAATTAGAGTGTTTATACAATTAACTTCAGCCATATGGTTAAAACTCATGCTGTGTATCTCTTACATAAGATGATTTATTCCACAAAGAGAGAGGGAATGATAATAAAACATATAAAAGAAGTAACATAACCTGATGATTTTATGAAAAAAGAAATGAGCCGCGTCATGACAAAACCAACATATTGCGTTTGCGACCAGCATGGATCCAGAACAGCCTGCGCATCCGCGCAGTCTGATCAGGATCCATGCTGTTCGCTTACCAACTCTATAACAAGTAGAGAAACTGATAGCGAACAGCATGGATCCTGATCAGACTGCGCGGATGCGCAGGCTGGTCTGGATCCATGCTGGTCGCAAACCCATTATGTTGGTTTTGTCATGACGCGGCTCAAATTTATGTGCTAAACGCATTAAAAGTATATTAATATAATAAGTTAACAAGCTATAGGAAAATCTTATTAATTTATCATAACGCGATATATAAAATGTCAAATTAATGAATTAATAATCAAATGATATGAATGAATTCTTTTCGGCCAAGTGAATAAAATTGACAAAATATGACTCTTTTCTTATCGTTCTGAAAGTTCCCCCTGCAACGGAGTTTAATTCTATAGGAAGTCGATGGTTCTATTTGGGTATTTTCCTCAAAATTTAAAAAGCTGAAAGTCGCTAGCGATATAAGCACTTTAAAAACGGTTTTACACACAGTCAATGCAGAAATGAAAAAATCGTGTATTTACAGCACAAGGATAAGACAGACTTTAGTAAAATAACATAATCATGATCTGTTGCTGCAATTTTGTAGCATTTCAGTGTAATATTTTTGAGATTGTTTTTCAAAATGTTGTTACACTATCAATTCATTTAAATTATTAAGAACACATATTTCTGTTTGATAAAGTATACTGTTCGTTATGGATTTTGAATACCAGGGATAAAATATAAGGGTATTATTTTTAAATTTAATTATATAATAATGTGTAAGCGTTAGTAAACATGAAATCTTGTTATAGCTTTAAAAGATTTTTAAACATTCTATTACTGTAAACTTCATTTTTGTTTTATTCATTAGAATTTAAAGAAGCGTTCCATTTGTTTGATAAAGATGGAAGTGGGACCATATCAACAAAAGAGTTGGGAATTGCGATGAATTCTCTAGGAAAGACAACAACCGAGGCCGAGTTACAACAAATTATTGCACAAGTTGACGTCGATGGTAACCTATGATATAGTTTACATTTCATTTGTTTCTTCATTTAGATAAGAGAAACATGTTTTATTTCTAGTGCAATATACATACATGTATTTGCCACTCTATAACCTCGCCCACTACTTCAGATAAAAGAACAACTGTGTTGAAAATGGATTGAGGAGATCCCCCGAGAGCTATGCTAACATAAGTCGAGTCATACAAAATGGAGTGTACAAATTTGGCGTGTAAAATTCAACCAAGAGAAATCAGTTTTCGACATTATTTGTTGCGTATTTAAAATATTGTAATTAGAAATAATTTTGGTAGAATGATCTTGCTATTGGATTAGTCTTAAACAAATTTTCTGTAACATAAGAGTGTGATATAAAAGTCTGGCATTTTAGAACGTTAATTGAGATCCGATTTAACGCACTTCAAAGAAGTATTTTGGCCAGGTATAAAAAAAATAAACTGGCAACCTAATAGTAAATTCGATTACGTTTTATCGTACTTAACGTTTCATAAGATCGAGATTATCTCAATTGGAATTAGAACATTTCAGCTACAGCTAGTTCAGATTTCATGATATAGCTTTTAAAGAAACGTTTAGTTTTTTCATATTAGAATGCGTTTTTCTTAACTTGAATTCATTATTGATTATAGTAGTATTTGTATTCAATTTTGTCTACAGTTAATATTATATTATCACAAACTAAGGGCAAGGTTTAAATGTAATACACTCAGATTGATTAAATTAATCAACAAAGTATAACTGACCTACAAACATGCATATAAATAAATAACTTTTATTACGTAGGTAACGGAGAAATTGACTTTGACGAGTATCTAACGATGATGGCAAATATGATGTCATATAAAGGGTCAGCTGACCAGATTAGAGAGGCGTTTAAGGTATCTATGTACTATATATAGTAATTATCGTGCAAGCGTTTTAAGTATGTGTCACTTTTACCATTATTATATTAAAAAGCTTCTATCTCAGTTGTTTTTCTATTAGATGAACCATTTGAATACATACAAGGAACCATTCATTCGCTCGATTTCTTATTGCACAGTTTCAGATTACAACACAAATATATATGGTTGCATTGTATAAGGGAAATCATTTAGATAAATTAAATATAAGATTTTTATAATACTATAGAGTAAAATTTAATTGTAGGTTTTTGATAAAGAGCAGAAAGGGTACCTGACATGTGATGAATTACGTCATATCATGACAAATCTTGGCGAGCGTCTAGAAGACGAGGAGGTTGATGAAATGTTGTCAATTGTTGATGCTGATGGTAATGGACTGATAGATTATGAAGGTTAAAAATATATTATGATTTAATTACCGGATTTTTCAGTGATATGTTTTGTTTGAAGCTGTTAAGGTTGTAATTAATCTATTAAAAACAAAAACAAAAAAAAACAGACACAAACATACAAAACTTTTCCTCCGAAAATGTCTTCATTTATTTGCAGCCTACTATTGCAAGTATGTATGTAGATAACAATTTTAAAGGATATATAAATCAAATATTTCTTATTTAAAAAAAACAACAGATTTTTGTTATTTCATCCTATATAAAAATTGCGCACATAGGTATATATAAACGGGGTAGGACACATGCATTAACGTATAAAATCATGTGAGCATGCCCGTTGTTGCAAGTGTTTAATATGTGTGACCCAAGGTGGCATGCAAAAACAGATTCCTGCAATGACAATCCCGGTGATTTTATTGTCAGAACATAGCACACTAACAAGTGAAGAGCATGACAAAATCATTTTCTTACTAAATTACAAATTTCGGAGAAACCAAATAAGACGTACTGGATATTTTATGCAAGGCTATCGCTAATATATACACCTTTTTCGTGCATGAACACCTGTAAAAGCCCTCGGACCTTATAATTCCCTGACACTGCGCGATCGGGCTGCAGATTTAAATTCACGAACAAATTGTGTTAACGCGCTAATGTATGTCATTTGGGACTAAAAAACAAGATTTATTCCTTAGATTTTATAACATATTCATGGCATTTGTAAAGAAAAAACGTTAACAAATTAATTATGAATATATGATATAATTCAATAACAGAATAATGACCAATTTTGTTTAAATTTCAGAGTTTACACAGATGCTTGCTCAAAAATGAAACTTCTCCGGACACGAGGAACATAATATCTTCTTGATTTATGCTGCTGTATAAATTATATATTGATGCCATATGTGGAAACGTTCAAGAAAAGAGGAAATAAATGTTGTTATTCCTTATAGAGCTAAAGGACTGCTTTGATACAAATCATTTTTCTAAAATAAGTACATTTAAATGACTGGTTAAACTGTGCATCTATATATTAAGAATGGTCGGAATCTCTGACACTAGAAAATGTATTTGCAATATATTTCATTCAAGTCTTCCTTATTTGTGTTTTCATTGTGTATCATTCTCAATTTATTCATTCATCTTTTATAAGAATTTGCTCTGCAGGCAGAAAGTGTTACGTATAACTTGAATGTCGAAGTTTGATATTATATTCAGTAAGCTAATTTTTTAAATAAAAATTGTGTCATAGTATAATAACACTGTTAACGTTAAATGTGTATGTATTATGTTTATGTGGATATATAAGTATGTATATCATCATTTTACAACTGAAGCATTCATGTAGTGTATATATTTATATCATTATTGAAAGAAAATTCACCAATAAGCATATCGAATACAATATACACTGTATATTTTCATGAAAACATTTAAGTATCTTATTATATAAGATAATTACCCCATAAAACGTCTTTGATATGTACATTCTAAGAATTAACATGCTGTCGGCGAGATATCTTTTTTTAAATGATGTAGAAAGGTTTTAATATTTTACACTACGATGATGAAAATGATTATTAGAGTATAAAACAATGTAGTAACTTATTATGTAGAATAATAGCTAGCTATTACTTTATCTAAATACCGAGCATAATGTGACGTTGAACACAAATGTCAACGGCGTATGTATTGTTCATATGAAGTTTACTTACAAAGAATGTCTTACATATAACATGAGTTGTTTTTACATTACTGAAATGTTACGACTGAATGACACTAGTCAAACATCTTTTAACCAGTACATAAATATCAATTTCCTGCAAATTATTGATATATTCATTAGTATAAATAGTGTTAATCAAATTTCGGTTGCTGTTGGATAAATGCTATGCCAATGTTACTTATTTATACACATGATATGAATTATATTCTAAATTACTTCTATGAAATATTTTGGAGTATTTACCTTTTACCCGATGAATTAAATGACGTCCATGGCTGCATTATAACCTTTCATATTAAAATCATGATATTACAACAGAAAAATCATCAAATCCTATTTAATATGTTCTATATTTCTATGATTTATTCACCACTTAATGATGCTTTACTTATGTTAAGTTTGTATGATATATTGATATTTCTTTTTGTTTGTAATCAATATTTTGTATACTGATTTGTGTATTACTTGGCAAGTTTGGTTCCTTGTTCATGAATAAACTGTATGTCATAAACTGTTCTGTTCCGTTTTTGTCTCCATGATACTAATATTTTAATGCATTTTAATATATGTTTAGCAATAGGACGGCCTCGCCAAATCATCACAAATGGTGAAGTGCAATTATCATTAAGAACTAAAAATATGTTGCTTTTTATCTCTAGGTATCTCTATATAACCAGATGTTTTCATGTAGTTACGTACGACCCACAGTTCTAAATATGAGCCGCGCCATGACAAAACCAACATAATGGGTTTGCGACCAGCAAGGATCCAGACCAGCCTGCGCATCCGCGCAGTCTGATCAGGATCCATGCTGTTCGCTATAAGTTTCTCTACTTGTAATAGGGTTGGTTAGCAAACAGCATGTATCCTGATCAGACTGCGCGGATGCGCAGGCTGGTCTGGATCCATGCTGGTCGCAAACCCATTATGTTGGTTTTGTCGTGACGCGGCTCAAATTTTTTTTACGGGTTGTTATTTAATTTCCTCTAACAGGTTCCAGAATCCGATATGCTAAGAATACGAATACATGTTAACATTTAGTTTGCAACATAGTTTTAGAATATTCGTTCTTTGTATTCACAATGTTTATTCTCAGTAACTAAATGTTCCCATATCGCTGCCCCACCTCAATAATTATTCCTCTGATACAATTATCATTAATTGCAATGGCATTTTGTGACATTTAATGAAACATTATAAATTGTTCATAAATATGTAACATCGATTAAGTCTCTGGAAATTCAAAAGATGTTTATTGACCGGTAAAATGTTATGAGCAGGCGAGCAGTGGCCTAGTGGCAAAAATAACAGCATCTCAGCTAAAAGATTGTGGATTCGAGCACTTATAGAGCCCTACCAGGTATCCGAATCGGATATGGTTAGCTTTCTTTACAACTTTCTTCATAGTTATGGTTCTAAAACACGAAGATATTACAATATGCATATGGTTGATCCAATAGAAAATACTTATGATTTGATCCAGATGATGTCCACGACACCGTGGGGAATATAGCAAATGAAGTTTAAAGGTATTCAATGAAATACTAACCCCACTTGATTTCTGCCGTCGTTTGGGATAAGTAGTCGGTCATTTGCAGAGAAATTAGTTAATACTGGATAGATATCCAGGACAGCCGGTTAGGAGGACTGACTGCCAAGATTTTACAAAAATAGTCCTACAATCGGTGTGAAAACCAAACAACCAAATACTTATATGGTACCTATACCAAACGGCAAAACGTAAAACATCCGATAGAATATATTAATATATTTATGACTGGTCAGATAATAATAACATATAGGTTCAGATGTAAAGTATGTACTCATACTTATTAAACTGGAATGTTTGAATAATCAATATAATTATGTTTTTAATCTTATTCCTCATCTCATATGTGTTAAATTTATCACGGCAATTTGTTCATAATTGAGTCAAATAATTGATGTATACACGTTAACGCACTTACAGTGTATACGCATTTATTGGCATATTATTGGAAACCGCCGGCCTGGAACTTATTTAGCTTGAAGTATTATAAATGGATTAAAGTATTTGATACTAAGGTAATGACTTTATCTTATCATTTTAGTTCAATTAATATGCTTAGTAGAAAGAAGATTTGATGAAATTAGGTTGATAATTAACGATGTTAATATACACTGCCGGAAAACAGAACACAAACTACCACAAAATGTTCAGTTTAGTACTGTTGAAATTTACTCTGCTGTATTACTATGATAGGTATTGAAATCTTACATGGTGGCATTAAATCTAAATTTGGACTAATTTCAAGACCATTTAAAAACTGTAATGCAAATATTTTCCATATTTCATTTTTCATTTATTAATTGTTTTGTTTTGCTACAAGTCCTTAAAAACTGTTTTGCGCAGTACGCATATTGTGAGATTATATTTTTGCAGAGATTTTTGTGATTGTTTTGAAAAATATACAAACGGAACAAAATTGTCTATATAACTGTGAAAATGGATACTGTGAAACGGCTTTCAAGAGATTTCTCCATGTTAGATACAGTTTCGGATGTCCACAAGAAAGCAGACGCAATATTACTTCGCATACAACAAGCACTGGGTCGTACAGCTAGTTCCAAAAGTCAGTATATGACTATTCATCATGGAGAAACATTCAGTAAGTATACAATGTTAAAAGGCTATCTCCCTCTTGTCTACAGACTGCTACAACATATCTACATATTTCATGAACAGCTATTTTATTTCGCACCTTGCGAAAACTTATCACACTTTCCGCCTGTCTTTCAAGCACGTAAAGTTTGAATCTCAGTCAAAAATCATTGCTATTCATTTTGAAGAAAAAAAGAAAAGAAAAGAGGTTTTCTTATTTCAAAGTAATGAAATTATAGCTTAAATTTACACAAATGGCGTGGAAGTTTAAAAAAGTAAGCAAATGTGTTGCTTTTATTTGAAGACAAGAAGCACATTCGGATGTTAAGTGTTGTATTGTTCCTTGGATGTGTATCAGCGGCGGCGATTGCGTGTGGTATCTATTATGCGTTTTATTGGAAACCATGTACAAAGAAGTTCCTCTACACAAAACAACCGGAGGATGACAATGTATGTGCGTCAGAGGTTCATGAATTATGGGTATGATAAATATCATTTGATAAAATTATCTGCTGACGTTTAAATAGTATTTTAATTCCAATCGCAGTGATAAAGCAAACAACATATATACAATGCAACCATCGCATTATATGAACAATAAATAATTAATGTTTGTTTCTAAGCAACAAATCAGTTAACAATCTACATTATAATCAACATTAAGCCCATCCAAGTGTAAATGGAGAGTGTACAGGTAAAAGGTTAACATGTCATAACATTTTGCCAAGATTGTATTCAATTTTATTATTGACTTTGTATGAATACTAAACTATTCACTAAAATCTAATAAATATTCCTAAAATAATCCTTATGTTCACTTGATATAAAACATCGGCAGTCTTTAACATTTTAGTAGGTTTTAATATAAGTTGTAACAAGCAAGTATTGGTTACTCACCCTTAAAATAGCCAGTCTTTAGACGTATATAATTTTTCAATAAAAATTTTCAGCGAAAAAAAAACTCAATGTTCCCAGAACTTTTAAGTTTAAAATCATGTTGTTTTTTTACAGGATAATACGCATGGGCTGAAAGCAGAAAAATGTCATTTCTAAAAGCTTACGTTACCAGTTTTTTCCCCTCCACAAAAAATTTACAACAGAAAAAAGTTTTGTACGGGAATATATTCAGCTTTTTTAAAGTTTTCTGCTTTACTTTTTTTTAAAAATTGTCCCTCTACAGGAAATTTTCATATATTTTAAAATTCCTATCTAAGCACTTTTTGAGGTCTCTTTTCATTTGAAAACCGTTTGCATTATAGACAATGGGAAATATAAAATTTATTTTTTTTGTGCTGACTCATAACATTACATACGAGCATTAATTATATACGTGTATATAATGATTATTAAACCGGTCACACATTTGTTTCAGTGAATGATTTCTCGTTTAAATTCATATGTTTAAAAAAATAACTCATTTAACTTTTTGCTTCAATAATAAATACAATCAGACCATTAAACAAGCTCGTTTGTTTTTGTTTGAAAGAATAATTACCTAAATACTGGACGAAGATTTCATCTTAAAATAAATCTTTCCGAATCCGTCAAACACAAGACTGTTGTTGTCCCAACACGAGGAGAAGGTTTTAAAAATGTAAAGTATCAAAGCGTATGATTCTTGTCATATTTCAGTAAACAGTAGTTCTATCAAATTCTATCGAGTCAGATAACGTTAAAAGTAATCCTTTATTTCCGACATTTTAGAATTGCTTGTTAAGTCAATGGAAGATGAATGAACACAATGTAATTATTCTATAATTGACAAATACGAGAGAAACTAGTGTATGAATGAGTTACATTTCATGATGTATGTCTCACACACACGTGATTTGTTGCATTCTATAATTGTAATCAACGTTGATGTAGATAATATAACTTAAGTCAAAGATTTCAATATGTAAATATATTTAGATTTCAACATGCTTCTGGAGAATGATTTATTTGTGTGGCAGAAATGCAATTAGTAATCTTCTACATCTGCTTGTTCAGTGGAAGACAAATATGCGAGGGAACATAATGTAATTATTCTATAATTGACATACATGAGAAAAGCTAGTATATAAATGAGTTACACTTAATGTTGTATGCCTCGACAAAGTGATTTGTTTCATTCGAAACAATCTCATTTTCTCTGATTAAAAACCATTTATAGTGTAAGTTTTCCATTATTACTTAACAAACACGTTGCCGTGGTAATATAAAATATTAATGGAAACCTTATTATTGCTGTTTGCGAACGTTGATGTAGATTATACAAACCAAGTTATTGCTTTATTATTATATATAATACATTTAGAAATTCAACATGGTACTGTTTGACTGATTATTTGTATGGTAGATATACAATAAAATCATCTGACATGGCAGTAGCTTATATTTACCGTAGTTTTCAGCAGGTACGTTATATATTTTTATATCAATATGCATATGTCTTACACAATACCAATCGAGTAAAGGTATACTTAATTACCTCGTTACTTACTATAGAGATTGGTTTAGTGTGTCTGTATATGATGGATAATGAAAACGTGCAACACCCTGACGCCCCCTGGCACAAGCATAAGCGGTATACAATTTTCAACACTTAAAAGTATTAGAATCAATGATGCCGAAGGACCAGAAAAATAAAACTATAACAAAACTGAAGACTTCTGTTTGGTTTTCATTTCTTTTAACGTTTTCTATTTATTAGAACATGTTTTCTTCAATTCTGCTATAGGTTGCAATTTGCCTGATCATCTTATTTAATTTGCGTTAAGATGTGAAAAATGGAAAAGAAAAAATGAAAAGATGTTAAAATCTCAGAAAAACTCAATTAAAATATCTCATCTAATTATTCGTAGGAAGAAAATTATTTTGTGATGTTGCCCTAATAGCATCATGAAACTACTCTTAATTAATATCTTGTACTTTTTATATTGAAATTTACTCAAAAAGACTTTATGGCAAGTCTTAAATGTAAAAAGGATATTGTTTCCCTTCAACTATTATTTTCATGTTGATATTTGTATTTTGTTGTATTTATATATGCACTTCAACTATCCGAGGAAGTAAAAGAGTATATATGGTGTGACGTGTCTTGTTGTTAAAAAACGTACGAATCCTACCACTACGACGCCTTTGTCTTCGATGCCTAATAAAACTAACAGCGGTCATGTTCTTGTCATCACTTATATACCTACGTAATCTGAAGACTGCAGGTAAAATAGTGATTTCATTTCGATGTTTACATGAACAAGGTTTTTGTTAAAGTCAGGTGAACTTTATCATTGATCTACTTTTTAAAACATAATAATTTTTTTCTAGTTATGATGAATATTTCTTCTTACATCATGTGACTATAGGACAAAGAGTAATAATCATAATGACAATATCTGTTCACAATGGCACAGAGCAGTTGTTTAACGTAAACGTTAGACATATATATATTCGTATATAATTGGTTAATCAAATAATCCAATGATTTACTATAAGAACGCTCATTTTGGAATGCGTCACATTTTAAAATTTATTTCAAATGTGTGTGTTGCTAATAATATAAGATGTTGTTATTCATTTAAGAGTTCAACTTTTTAAAACTGAATGTATTGAAGTCCATTATTTACCAAACTGCAATCATTGATGTGTGTAACATTAAGAAGAAGACCATTTGATCAATATATTAATTCGCTTCTATCAGGCATTAAAATCATTGGCAATTATTTCAACGTTTGAAATGAGAACACAACATAAGAGAAAATGATTAGTTCAATAGAGAACAAAAAGAATCCGTAAAGAACGGCCAAATCGGACAAATTTAATATGTTGCAGGCTCGGTTTGATTGGGAATGTTCTATGACGGTACCGGTACTAAAAAGTGAAAGCTACCATTCACAACTTCTATTGCTCTCACTGGCGCAGGCTTAGGTTGGGTTGATTTTGAATATTTAAAAGTTTATGTTTGACCAGGAAAATAAAACATTAGTTAGTCTTATTTTTAGAATACCGTTTGTAAAAAAGAAGTGTACTATGTGTTTCTAATGAACGGATCACACCCTTTGTTCGTATTATTGTTATTATTATTATATGCAGAGTTGTAAAAGGTTTAATGACATGTGAAATGTGAGAATAGAGTTACTTTCTTTAATACCATTAAAGTACGCCAATGTTCTAAAGTACTGATAAAAATGTCTTTGTAAATCAGTCAAAGTGTCTAGATAAAATATATATGGTGTACCAAAAACGACATTGAATAAACTACAACATCTTCAAAACACTGCTGCCCGCATCATCACAGGAACATCCAGATTTGAACATATCACTCCAGTATTGAAGAAACTACACTGGATTCCTGTAGTTTATCGAGTAGATTTTAAAATCCTTATGCAAACTTATAAAGCCCTACATGACCAGTCACCAATTTACCTTAAACATTTACTGGCGCTATATCAACCAACAAGAAACTTTAGATCAAAGAACTCTGCAAAGCAACTTGTTGTTCCCAAAAGTAGGACTGTAAGATATGGTGAACGCAGTTTCTCTTCGGTGGCACCTAGACTCAGAGACTCAAAAACAGTAGATGCTTTTAAGAAATCTTTAAAAACACATTTTTCCAGAAAATTTATAGTAACTAACTGTGCTGTATTTGTCATCACTATGAATTGGCGTGCTGTCTTTTGTTATGAGATATCTGGGTACACATTTGAAATATAATAGTCTATTTTTGAATCACATTTCCATTACTAATTACAGTTTTCATCAAATTGGATTTAGATTTCAGTTGTCTTATCTTGATTTGTTTTTTTTATTAATTTTAATAGTTTTAACGTATCTCTTTATTTTATTTTCAAGTCTTAGATTATTCTTCATATACATTTTTTTTATTTGATCGACTGAGTTTTAGACTTTTAGATTAATCATGGTATATTTTATACTTTGTAAATGTATACATAAATGTGTGTTATTATTTTTATTACTTTTTTTTTTGTCTATAAAGTCATTGTAAATGTATATAATTCCATTGTAAAGCGCCTTTGAACATTTTATTTTTTGAGAAGGGCGCTATAGAAATGTGGTAATTATTATTATTATTATTATATAAAATGACGGAAAATACGTGTTTAGTTTTACACTTCCTTATCTTTTATGACAGCGTATTATTCATAATTAATACCACATTCTACAAAGATGCCTTACTTTCACGGAACAGTTCAATATACATTGTATCCTACAATATATCATATCATATTATGCTATATGTGATATATTGTGTCAACTCGCATCTCGCGTGAAAGCTTAAAAACCTTTTAATTGTTTTTTGTAGCTTAAAACTTAACTGGTTTCACTGTTTTTTTTGTTTTTTTTTTTGTTTTTAATCCTTTTCTTGCAGCATCACACTTTTCCCGTTGGAGTGTATGTCTAATGGTAAAGGTATCGTGGGTTCAAGCCACACAATAGGGACAACAATGTTTTCTGATATGAAACAATTACAAACGAATCAA